GAGCATGAATTACCTTGATGAAAAACTCTACCACTACAACAAAAACTATGTTGAGTATACTTACCAATGTAGCTCCTTGTGGGAACAGGGGACATTCAATGGGACTTCCTTTGAAGATCTCACTTTCTCAATGGATGGATGGATGGATGAGCACATGTGTCATGAGGCTCCAAGCTACTTCAGGCCCCATGGGTGACAACCAGTAGCTTGAACTCACCTTGGAAGCAGAGTGAAAACCACAGCCATCTGTTGAAGACCACTGTTATGCCACAGTTTTCATTAGCTACAACTTCCAGAAAGCATGCTTCCATGCTGATGCTCCAATTCTGAGTATTTTTCTCCAAAACATGCATTTTTGTTGTGTTTAATCACCACATTTTGAAAATGGAGCAAAAGTTTCCGCTGATCCAGAAATTATAACACAGACTAATGGGTCCAAATGGCAAGAAAAAAGATCCCACCTAAACATTAGGAGGAACAGTGAGAACTCTTCAGCCCTGGAATGGACTGCCTCAGAAGATGGAGACCTCACCAGGTTTGGATGTCCATCTCCCAGGAGTCCTTTAGTAGTGTGTTCCTACATGTCACAGGATTGGAATAGATGGTCATTGAGGTATTTCCATGATATCTAGTAATTTTCCTAACCAAATGCTATTTCATGACACTTTCATGAAGTTCTATGTGCTGTTCTCTAAACATACACCTTTTTTGCATGCACTCTTCCCTAATAAACACAGCATTTGCAAAATTCAGAAAAGTGCACATTCCAAAAGTGCACATTCTTTTGGTTTGTCTCTTGACTCAAAAGTGTGGAAATGAAGTATGTTCACATTCAAAAGTGAACAGATTTCTCCCTCATCCCTAACTGTATGCAAAGCTTCCGCATAGACTGGCTTTATGCAGATTTGTCAGAAGGCATTCCATTCAAGGGAAAGAAATATTATAAGAGACACAGCTGCATTACACAAATAAACAGATAACCTGAAATTAAATGAGTTCTTGTGTTGGGTCTCCCATAGACTTAATAAAAACCAGTTTCACTCCAGTGCATCCCATTATATAACATCCACTGAGATTCAGATTTCTATTTGGGATTATATATGTTGCATATAGACTGAAACCAAGCACAACGTTCTCCCTGCTATGAATGAACAATGCAAAAATCACAGCTACTTCTACACAGAGATAGCTGTTTCCATGCAACCAATGAAGCTGTGAAGTTACCATCAATTTACAAAGACAGGGAAAGGATCCACGATTATTAATAAAATGGTTCCTACCATCAGATTTTAATGCTTTTCTCACTCTTCATTTTAGCACTTATATCACATTCTAGAGTGATCAGAACATTTCAAAGACAAGGATATTATAAACTGACAAGGTGTGTGGGGGGGGGGGGCTCCAGATGTTGTGGAACTATAATTTCTAACATTCTTCAGCATTGGTTATTATGGTTTATGCCTGCTGAGAGTCGTAGTCCAACAATACCTGGAAAGCCCAATGGTTTCTTCTCCAGTAACAAATAACAGAAGCATGGGATATTTGGCACTGATGGATAATAGAATAAAATAGCTAATAGATGCAGATATATATACAGCTGGAATTCTGTTAATCAGCTCTGATATAATAAGTTAGATTTTGTTGTTGTTGTGTGCCTTCGAGTCATCTCCAACTTACAGTGACCATAAGGAGAACCTACCATGGAGTTTTCTTGGAAAGATTTGTTCAGAGATTTGCATTGCCATCCCCTGAGGCTGAGAGCACGTGGCTTGCCAAGGTCACCCAATGGGTTTCATGGTGAAGCAGAGAATTGAACCCTGGTCTCCAGAGTCATAATCCAACACTAAAACCACTACGCCGCACTGGCTGTCAACCTCATACCTGTTTGCTATTCACATTTATGATTGCAGTACTATTGTCACAATTGTAAATGCCCACCAAAGGCACCTTAAAATCCAGGCAGCCACACTGAGGAATGGAGGTCTGTGGCATAACTGAGAGGGGCACTGAAGGAAGACACATCCAGCACACTGAGGAGTTGTGACAGGACCCCACAGTCTGCTCTTCACACTAGGGCTTACTAGCAGGAGAGGGATGGATGTATCATCCTTCAGCACCTCACTCTCCAGGGCCAAAGATCCCTCAGTGTGGCTGGCAGGACTTTAAGGTGGGTTTCAATAATAATAATAATAATAATAATAATAATAATAATAATAATAAAGTTTATTTGTATCCCGCCCATTGGTAATCCAAGCATTTTATATTTCTATACTGCTTCATAGCGAGCTAAGCACTCTCTAAGTGGTTTACAATGTGTCAGCCTATTGCCTCCAACAAACTGGGTACTCATTTTACCAACCTACGAAATGATGGAAGTTTGAGCCAACCTGGAGCCCTGCAGGATAGAACTCACAACATTGTGACTGTATACTGGTATTTAACCACTGTGCCACTAGGGTTTCGATGGTCAGATTGAGAGATAGATCATAGCCACAACATCATGGCAATATATCTGAAGCAAGATGTCAGCCATAGATATTATAAATGTTAAAATCATAAGGTTTTTAGAGTTGGAATGGTTGCTTGAGATGGTATAATATTCTCACACCTAGAAAAATGCAGGAGGCAAGCATAGCAGGGATGGGCAACTGTCCCCTAGGACTGCAGGACACACACACAACCCACTGGACCTGGATAGGCTTGTAAGTTCTTACTATACAGACACACACATCCCACCACGAGGGTTCAAATTTCTGATTATTTCATCCTTGCATGCAAAATACAGCCATAGCACTGGGTAGGGATGGAAAGAATGTTTCAAAACCTCTAGTAACTTACTTAGGCTGCATAGTTGGCACATAAAAGCAGCATGAGCATCACTGATTACAAATTCTAATTCACTAGTCATTCCTTCAGGCAATGTTCCTTTGACTAAAGGCATGATTCAGCCTCCTCTTCTACATTTCACCTGCCGCATCTCTGTTGAATGAACAAAATGCAGCCATCTTGATAGGTAGGAATGGAAAGAGTATTTCCATGGGGACACAGTGGGAAGATCCAGCCCTCCAAGGTCCTAACCCTTGACTCTCACCCCGATATAAATATTAAGAGAAACTTTCTAAAGGTAAGAGCAGCTCAACGGTGGAACAAATGATCTCAGGAGGTGAATTTTCCTTTGCTAGACACCTTGAAGCATAGGCTGAATAGGTATCACTTAAGGGTGTTTTTCTTCAGGGATGAGCAAGATGCAACCATAGTGCTGGATAAGGGTGGAAAGACTATCCACAGTGATTTCTTTCCAGGTCAAAAAATGGGTTACACAACAGTTGGGAAACCCCACTGAGAATAATATTAGTACAGTGGGAGTTTTGTTTTGTTGTCTCCCACTTTTAAATTAGGCATTGTATATTTTTGTGCAAATATAAAAATAAAAATAAAAACATGTTTCCTGCACAGAAAACACATCATTTGTTCCCAAAATAGGATCAATGTATATTAACCACAGTGAAACTTTTGCTTAGTATTCAAATGTTCCAAAGTTTTGCAGAGGTATTAGTCTGCGGATAAGTGCATGTGATTTTTTGGAATGTGCATAAAACAGGTTCTTGTAAAAAAAAAAAAGGGGGGGGAAGCCACATATATTTCTCTGTGAGATATTTCCTCCACAATATTTCAGTGCATTCAAAAACTGGGAGAATACTATGGAGAAATATTTGTTTTCTTCCACAGTGGGGAGGAAGAAAATAGTTTCCCCACTCCAGCTCCATTGAACTTGGTTCCTGGCAATTTTCACCCATACATTTCAGTCTTACCCTCTGGAGTAAGGCTCTATCTTTCAAATGAGAGCTCTCTCTCTCTCTCTATATATATATATATATATATATATACAAACATAGTATTTCTCAACCCATCCCCTTAATCTTAATCACTGTCTTCCCTTAATCTGCTTTTCTCAAAACAAAACATAACCAGCTCTTTCAGCCATTCTGTAGTCTGTTCATATGGTTCGTTCTTCTCACCATCCAACACCACCAATATAGGTACAAGTTTAGATCCCACCTTTTTAGGCAGAAATGTCCACTTGGTGTGGCTTAAAGATGTTAAAACAAAAGTGTGTGAGAGTGTGTGTGAACAAGGGGGAGAAGAGATACAGACACACACAAGCAAACACGCTAATAAAAATTAAAACCAGAAATAAAACAACAAAACCCTAATGTTTCTGTTTTCTACAACAACCCTGTAAATTAGATCAGACTTCTTCCTGGTGGGGTACTGATGATGAAAGGGAGTAGCTTAGATAAATCTTGACATGCCTTATTTTACATGTGTCTGACATATAGTCTGAGTCTCTGAAAAATAATCTTCTGGACAAGTCCAAAAGTCCTTTAGCTAGCATGACCACTTGGGGGAATTCAAGGAGTTGTGATCACGAACATTTCTAAGGGAATCAATTGGATTTTACTGTACTTTCAAAGCACTTTTCTAAGGATGGAGAATATGTGGCCCTCCAGATATTGTTGGAGTTCAACTCCTATTATCCTTCACCATTGGCAATGCTGGCTAGGATGGATGGGCGATACAGTCCAACAGCATGCAAAGGGCCACATGTTCCTCCTTTAGTCTGCTTTTTCTTTTCTCTTTTTCATATACACCGAGTCCTATCAGTTCTGATGGAGTATTTTTCCATCCCAAAAGTGAAAAGATATCTCTTTTTGCTTCTTTTCCTTTGTTTTCCACCTCAAACAGAGAGCAAGCATCGATTAGAAACTCTCCATCATTTTGTCATGATCGGGCACAAGTATTCCGGCTGCTAAAGAGATCAACAAGGGTAAGGCAAAGAGAGAACTGCGCTTGAAACAATATTTTACAAACCAACCCGGTTCATAAATCAAAAGAACTTTAATGGCTTTCTCTGACTTTAATGTATGCCAGACAGGTATTGTGTCTTGGGCAAGCAAATAAAGGCCATTACTTCTACCTGTGGAAGCAAATTACAATTAATGTCCCCCGCTGAAAGGCCAAGCCAGAAGCCTCAGACAGGGGCCATCTGTTCAGCCAAGTTAGGACCACTTCCAAGAAGACGGGCTGAAGCTGAAGACATCTTAGCTCCCATGCATCAAAACTAGTGTTGGGAAAGAGAGAGAAGTAGAGGTCACATCTCTAGCCTTGACTTCAACTGGAAGAGATGCTCCATACCATGCAAAAGTTATCCGATGAAAACTGGGACATATGCGGCCAAGCAACATCAGAGTGTGGTTAAGTTGGCAAAAGTTATTAATGAGAAGGGACAAATAAAGTAGGAGAGAGTTCAGCAGTTTGCTTTTTCCTGAACCTCCTAGGAAGGGCACAATTGCACCCTCTCCCCTTCTCTCTGCTGAGTTAACCACTTTTGCACTTTTAATTCAATTTTCAGCAATTAAAATAAGCTGAGGATAAAGTGGGGAAGTGGAGGGAGGAGAGAGAAACCTGGAACTTTTTAAAAAGCAGCTGAAAAAGTGGAACAACAGAAGATTAACCGGGACAGTCCCTGCAACATCAGGATAGTTGAAAGTGTGGATATTCATTACAATGGTTGGGAAAGAATCTGACTGGTGGTTTGCCCTGTATTCTCCCCCAGCTTTCTGAAAGAAAGAAAGAAAGAAAGAAAGAAAGAAAGAAAGAAAGAAAGAAAGAGAGAAAGAAAGTTCATAAGGATCTTCAGGAGAATATAATAATAATAATAATAATAATAATAATAATAATAATAATAATGTCAGAAGATCAACAGTTGAAGGATTAAGCAGTTAAAGTACACTTTAGATTAGTTATTTTCTGGAATGGAAGAGTGGGTACAAATCTGCTGTTCACTTATACCTAATAAAATTCCCAGGACTGTAGCTAGGACACACACACAAAACACAAATATTCAGATTTTCTACTCAAAACCAGGATAAATCTGTACTCTTTTTTTCCTCTGGATAAAAGCCTTGAGGTGATGAAAAAGCCCAGATTCAAGCCCAGTCACTCCATAGATCATTTGGACAGTTCACTGTGAAACCTAGGTGAGACCATAATATTTGGCCCATGTAGACATGCTCCATGTGGACTTCAGAGGGGCCATGGAGTAGAAAATGGGCCAACTTTGCCAGGAATGTGGGATCTAAGGTAAATGTTGTGAACCGTGTCCATTTGCAACCTTATGGGCTGAATCCAATTGCTATTGCCAACTAGAACTGACACAACAAATCATTAGTTGAATTACCAAGTTACTCTTAATGCAATGGCACTACTCTAGCTGTGTTTAATAAAAGGATTATTTTTGCTTGTGCCTTCAGGTCATTTTCTGACCTATGGAAACCCTAATGCAAAGCTATCATGAGGGTTTCTTGGCAGAGTGGGGTTGCCATTGCCTTCCTCTGAGGCTGAGAGAGTGTGGTATTGTTAGGGTCAGCTAGTGGGTTACCATGACTGAGTGGGGATTCAAACCCTCATGTCCAGTGTCCTAGTTCAACACACACACCATTACACTATGCTGATTCTCAAAATATGATTATCCTCATATCTTTATACAGAGTTGATATAGCCACAGCAAACCCAGTTTGGAAAAGTTCCTTTTTTGAACTACAACCTCCAGAAATCCCCTAGCCAGGGTGGTCATCCTGGATTCTGGATGTTGAAGTTTAAAAAGTAACTCTTCAAAGCTCTGAATCTCATCTGGTATTCTTATCATCCAGCAGCTCAATCAATGGTAATAGCATTTTAGTTCTGTCAGTAAACTTGCATTTTTGAGATGCTGTTGGGTCTGGCTTATGTTGTTTTATTTAGGTGTGGAGGGAGAAAGATATAGGTCAATGGGTATAAATAGGTTCCTTCTAAAAACACAAGGAC